TATATATATATATATATATTAAATATATATATATATATATATATATATTAAATATATATATATATATATATATATATATATATATATATATATATATATATATATATATATATATATATATATATATATATATATATATATATATATATATATATATATATATATATATATATATATATATATATATATAGTTCTGGACGACTAGTAGTTTAACTTTAAAGCAGAAAATGGTCATAAGTGGGACCTATATGATACCTACGACATTTTTAAAATGCCCATCTCTAGGATGTACGATCGCTTGAGCAAAATCCAATTTGGGAAACATTACCCCTGAGGACATTATTCAGAATGGAGTCCTAACCGGGATCAGATATCCCTGGACTTTAGTGAACTACAATCGATATCAAAATTGCAAAGCTGCAAGAATGAGTATTAAGGGTGATACTTTGAACACATGTGCAGTCAACCATAATCCGAGTAATTTCCTGAACAATCTCACAAGCGTGTACATCTCTGTTCATTTTCTTACAGTAGTTGGTTTACTGAATTGGCGCATTAAATGTAAAACACAGACTTTGTAGCCAATGTTATTTTGTTCATGGAGGTATTTCGTTGAACAAGGAAACGTTAACACTTGGACCGAGGTAAATATCGGCTACATGTGTGAAAGAAAAGAAAAAGAAAAAAGGCTGGAATCTTCCATATAATTTTTGCCTTATAACTCCATAATTTTATTATTCATTGGTGAATAAAAGTAATGTCTACCGTTCAGAGTTGTTGTCCAATGAGATATAACAAAACACAAACTTTGAGACTTGATTCAAAATAGTTGCACATATACAGTTTACAATACCGAAATTTAGTTTATTCTTGGAAAGTTGATGCTATCATTAGGCAATATATAGATGCTTGATTATTTCTGTGTTGGTGTTGTGTACTCATGGTGAATATGATATTTTTTATGTTACTCTGAGTGTATATCCACACCGAGGGAGCTTGAAAAATATGCCTGGCCACGGTGGGAATCGAACCTACGACCTTTGGGATACTAGCCCAATGCTCTGCCAACTGAGAGTGGCCGGGCATATTTTTCAAGCTCGCCCGGTGTGGATATACACTCAAAGTAACATCACAAATATCATATAGATGCTTACTGTACCTTTGACCGTCTGAGTAAATGTAAGCACCGTGGCCATTTTTCTGCGACTTCCTCCACTCGCCTTCATATATATCTCCATTTGGATAAAAGTATATTCCACGGCCATGTCTCTTGTTGTCTTTCGTTTCTCCATTGTAAATGTTAACCTCGACGAAACTTTCGCTCAGATCATTTCTCGTGCTCTTTTTATTAGAATTCCCCATCACATCTTTTTGTTAAGATTTTGTTCTTTCTGTTACAGAATGATATAAATACATATGGATAATGTATTTGTGTTGCCCGCAGGGACATAGATAATCAGGAGTGTTGTAAATTTGAGACTGAGCATGGATGTCAAGGAGGCTGAGGGAGCAATAATCTTCTGCATACAAAGATGTTCAATTTCGAGTGCTCTAATTATGGTATTAAAGCAAAGAGTAGCCCAGTGCATAAAAACACGAGACGCGTTTTTAAATTCTATTTTCTTACAATAATTAAAGATTTAAATCATAACAGGGCCTTTTTAACTATCTTGAACTGTTTACATGCATGAACAATTAAGCTTTCGTTGGTAGGAACGCAACTACATGCAATCAACCAATCAAAGCTTTATTTAAACACGGTGAAATAACATATATATAACATTTAACGAGATAATTAACTAACATATAATTACAATTAAGTTAGATGACAATTAATTTAAATTAATACACTTTAATCTTATGCAAATACTAATAAAAATACTGATTTACAAGATTGCCGTGCGGAAGTCCATTTCATATGGATAACAGATTGTCAATTGCTATTTTGAATTTACTTAGAGAGCATGTTGCTCGTACATTTTGCGGTTATTCGTTCCACAACACTGCCCCGCTATAACTAAAACTTCGTTTACCGCAGTTCGTTCGTGTTTTTGGCACACATAGGCCTATAAGGTGTGTCCAGAGTTTCTTAAATTATATCCTGTGCTGCGAGATTCAAACAATTCATGGAGATAATGCGGAGTTAGTTCGTTAATTGTTTTAAACATTAGTATAGCTCTATGCTTTTTCCGACGTGTTAAAAGGTTATCCCAGCCCAGCTTACCGTCGCTGGAACTAGCATCATATCGAGATTTAGTGATGACCCTCGCTGCACTATTTTGCAATTTTTGTAATTTATCATTTGACATGATATTTAAACCATCCCAAACTGAGCTAATTTTCAGATAAATTCCATAAATTTTGTATCTATAAATTGGCATAACCATTTAAGAGCTCCAATAGCTGATGCAATCTTTTTTGAAATATTTTTGACATGTCGTGCCCATGTAAGATGTTCATCGATTTGCAAGCCAAAAGATTTCGTTTCGCTGACTCTCTTAATTGTCTTTCCGTCAATTTCTATCCATATGTGTTCGTTATCATGTACTAATAATCGTTGACGAGACCCCATTATCATGAATTCCGTTTTCGCGACGTTAAGACTCAGTCTATTAGCTAGCAGCCATTGATGAAAATTTTTCAATCCGGAGTTTATTATTTGCTCAGGAGATTCTCCTTATATTTTCAAGTAGTTGTATCCCAAGCAACGGCAACGAAAGCTTGACAGTTGTCCTCTTTAACTGTACATACATAATTTCGGGGTGCAATGCCACCCAGCCTTTTTTCGTATTTACATAAACATACTAGAAATACATGCATGCAGCAACCCCTCGCCTTTCTTAATAACAGATGAAGTATAGACATTCCACATGAAGTATTATTTTTGTCAAGCCATGTTTGCTGTAGGTAAAAGACCATTATAAACACACATGAAATCACGATTCGCTGTATAATTGCCCCAAATAAACAACAATATTAATCACCATTACAATTTCATGTAACTTTAAGCTTGAATAACAACATATTATTTATTGAGTTAAGAAAAGCGTAAAAATTTCGCAGATATGAATGACATCGAAAACACAAAGCAACTACAGTATGGAATTAATACTGAAGTATTTATAACACTTACCCAAGTCCCAAACATAGCCAAAACAACTATTAAATTTATTCAAAATGTCAGGTTCGTCTTCGACAAAATTTGTGTTTATGCCTTTCACACTTTGTTTCATGGTTCACAACTAATTCATGAAACTTCAGGCTTTTTTCCAATTAAAAGCGAAATACATCGCAAAAATACATCTTTGAAAACTGAAAAACAATTTTTTAGCGCGAGCTTGTACCCGCGCATGCGCATAACGTCGAAAACCGCTCATCACATAATGGAGGACAAGTGGACAACTTTGCACTTCGCTATGTTCTCAAATACCGGGGTGTAAATAGCCGAGCGGAATTATTACCCTCGCCCCGGGCTTACGCCCGGAACAGCAAATATCCAAATACTTAACTGAAGGTTCACACTATCTACAGTATAATGGCAATAATCTGTTTCAGTAAACGCACGGAATGCAATCCAAGGTGTAGAATAATAAGTATTTTTTAACCAATAACCATGCATGTATTTGTCATCTCTCCCACACCAGTTTAGTATGGTCCCGTCCTGAAGAAGGACCTTGAATGACGAATTGAAAAAGACCTGGTTCCCTAATATACAATCCGTTAATAGATCAACGTGCATCTTCCTCAATGTCTTCATTTCCAGAGAACAAGTACAAGTTTGAATTGCAGGTGAAGTATCTCATGCACTCGATGTGACCAAATGCAATCATGCAATTTGATGCGACCAAACCACGACAACATTTATGCCAAGAACAGTAGGTCATGGCCGCATCCCGCTAAGCCGGAATTATTAGGGAGTCATAAATTGTAATTAGATTTAATATCCATATAATATTACAGTATATACTCAGATGTCGTTCTTTGCTCTATATTGTATTGTTCGAAACAATACAGATTTGTACAAATATATCACTTGACGTGATTTGTTTTTAAAGGACAATGGGAACAATTTTTTTTATTGTCTGTATTTATAAGCTTAATTACTAATGGAATACTTAATTTCATGCTTATGTTTGTCCATTGCATTTAGTCAGTTCAGATAATTTGCGAAAATGTTTAACAAATTTTAACAGTCGTCTGCCATCTTGGGAAAATTCCGCGTATGCTAATTTATGCATCAATACATTTCGTGACGTAAATGGCAGGGTAAACGCAAATCCCACAATATAAGTTACACTGTAACAACGTTGAGATTTGGAAGAAAATGTTTACAAAAAAATTACACTTACATCATAACGTGTATTAATAATTCAATAATGTTTAGCAGCTTACTACCAATGGTCTGTTACTGTGTTTTCGACAGTAAAGCGTATGTTTGCGTTGTAAAATGTGCTTAGACATTGACTGGTTATGGTAGTTCTGCTGTTCCAATTACATGTCATATATTCCAAATATATGTATATATATGTATAGCATATACATTTATGTATGTGCATGCTCTGTTGCAGAAATATAGAAATAATTTGCATATAAATAAAAGATTCTACTGAGATTTAGTGTTTCAAAGTGTTGTCATTATTATTAATACAAAAATAATTCAACCAACTGGCGGAACTGCAACAAGGCTGCAGTGGATAATCGCAACCACAAGGCCCACCAGCCGTAGACGAAGCATTTTAAAATCTCGTGCCAGAATTCACTAGCCGTTAAATTTGAAAACCTTTGAAAAACATTGACTGCACGAATTTCATACAAGGCTGAATCGAAATCATGACAGATACTTGTTGATCGTGATTGTCAGAAGTGATAATATATTTCTAATGCACGCCGGCGATATATATTAATTTAGCTTCAGATTTCACAACTATATGATAATAATTGCTTTTAAAACTGAGTAGGCTTTCAAACGACATTGCTTGTGAAATAGCTGTTATCTCACAAACAAGATTTGCCTCTTCTGTAATGTGTAGTGCCGCGCAAGTTAGACATTGCGCAAATTAGTAAATTGACATTCAATATCAGAATGGGATTTTCCCAGCCAAGAGATTAGAGATAAGTGTAAAATAACTTAATCTGGTTATATGTTGTGATGTGATGTATTTTTACATGTAGATTTACTTGGTTGTCATTTTATACAGGTAAGTATATGCATGTAATGTAGTTCACAATATTATCAATATTTTCATTGTGTTAGACTATGTAAAATACCCTAAATTCACGTGTGGGACATTATACTATATACAGTATATAACCGAAATTGCAAATATTAGTCAGCTCGATTGAATTCTGTAAGCGCAAAGGCAAAGCATTTAAACCATCGTCGTCTATGATCGTCGTGCACTAGAATATATGCTCACTTCATTTTGCCGAAGACGCGTATGAACAAGACCGAAGACGCATATGAACAGTCGCCAAAGTTTTTAAAACGAATACAATTGAAAAGGGAAGCGTTGCCAAGTAATAACTTTACCTACAGTACATACTATAGCTTCTAGTGCGATATACTAGCCTATTTCTAAAGACACAAAACAGCGCACGCATGTACGCGTGCACCTAATATACAATATTTAATGGCATGGTCTACTTTCAATACCCCGTTGAAAATAAAAGAAATCCATTAAATAAATTATTATAAGTAAACTACAAACCAAAGGTCCAAGACGCATGTAGAAGTCCTATATTTATACCTATCCCAAAATTAAAATATTGCTTGTTTTTCTCCTACTTCTGGTTCATATTGGTATGATAACACTTCTCCTACTTGGTTCTCGTGAGTATTTTCCATTAAAATTACTCAAAAGCATTAATTTTTTGCGAAAACGTATTAAATCTCGATACACGCTATACAAAAATATATTGTTGTTTTGATTCTACCCTGCCAACTACGTCATACGGGTCATGTTACCCAAAAGATAATTACTCGCAAATACGAGCCAAGATGGCGGACGATATATAAATTAGCAGTGAAATAACATGCATATAACTCCTGAACAAAAATGTTTGACACGGTATTAATATCATATTCATAGTTAGATGAAGCAACACTTTTAATATGGAAAATAAAAAAAATGGTTGCCATTGTCCTTTAAGTTAAACATCTTTTCGTCAACGCCATTTAATAACAGACCTTGAGGTAAATCATATAATCGATGTCGACCATACAGTAAGTATCTCTAGTTTTGATTTAACTTATAAAAATCTATTGTCAGTCTAAATCTAAAATCTGGTGCTGGGTACTATTTTTCTGGAGGGGCCAGTGGGCTGTCAGCCAATATGCGCCCCTATAATGTTACACTTGATAAACGAGGGCCGAAGGCACGAGCCGAGTGCCGCAGGTGCGAGGTTTGTCTAGGGGGTCCGGGGGCATGCCCCCCAGGAAAATTTTTGAATTTAGAGTCTCTGAAATGCCATTTCCTGGACTTTGGGGGAAGATTTGACAGAAATCTGATGGTCAGGAAACGGCATTATAACGTGTCGAAATTTGCAATTTGGTTAGAATTTAGTAGTAGTAATTAAATTATGCAATGCTAACTACTTCCAGCGATTAATCTAATCCCAATTCTGTTCTCTACTGATCTACTGTTCTGAGCACATTTACAACTTAAAGCTCTTTTATACAATAACACACGCACCCCACGCACATCTATTTTAAGGTTTCTTTGCCTGGCTGCCAAAAGGGCATGTTTCAGCATTATTTCATTACTTACATTACTCATGCTTCTTGTGCAAACAACTAAATTGCGTACACAACTTTACATCAGTTATCATAACTTCAACTATCTAATTTGCGCCGCTCTCGTGATTCGTGAAGCATAATAAAGGGCATAATATAAGGGCATAATACCAGAAAAAAGGGCATAATTCTCGTGATCGCTTCGATTGAAACCTGACCAATATTCCGGTAATGAGACATTGCCTGTGATCACTGATCATGTTTCTATATGAACGATTTCGTGTGAGCTGTGAGGTAGCAAATACGGTTAGGCAAAATAGTCTGTAATTTAATATATGTCGCCAATGCGCTTAGTCTGTTTTATACTGTAGCCTATAAACACGTCTTTTCTTGGTGGAAGTAACCATATTTTTTCGAGAATGCGTTTTTTCCCACCCACTTTCAAAATTCGGCGCCCCTTTTTCATTTTTGCGCCCCCCAAGAATTGCCAGCTGGGGGGGGGGCGTGGCCCCCGGCCCCCCCTGCCAGCACGCCACTGGTCAAAAGAACCATTTATGGCTTACCATGCAATGCAAACGATTTATCTTGAGGCTATTTCGATTGTTTAATAAATACTATACCGGAAGTTGATCATACAAACATTACCAAGCGTATCGACGTCTTTGTTATCATAAAACGCTCGATTATAATCTATCGCAAAACTGGTATAGTACCATTCTTTCGGCAAAGTGTCTTTCGGCACTGTGAAGTTATTTCGGCAAAATGTCCGACCACATTCAAATCGGCGTAATTAAACTGCATGCACAGATTGAGTTATAAATTGCGCTAATCGGCCAATTAATGATAAACCGTCCTGACTCTCGCATTTACATAATGAAACAATTAACGAAAGTCCTAACCAACGAGGTTGACTGAGAATACCCTGAAATTCCATTTCCGACGATCAAGATACTCCAAATTCCCCCCCTCCCCTCGCCAGTTTAACAAGTTTCCTGCACCCCTGCCCATATCACTTTACAGACAGAATATTGTTTATTAATAGAAATAGAATATCGCAATCATAAAAGAAAGAAAGAATGAAAGCATTGCCATTTTTAAAATGTATCTGAGGACAGGCACAGGGTTTCCATTTTGAAAGAACTTGAGTACAAAACAATATATTTTTAGCTTTTTACAACTTGAGTACAAAACAATATAATATAAGTGTTGAATAAAGCACAAGTTAGCTCTTGGTGTTGTAGATCACACTGATCTGACAAATATAGACAAAAATTTGTCGACGTTTCAAACAACTACTACTAGCGGTTATTGATCTTTCTTGGCAGTGGTCATGTGGAAAATGTGCCACACGCTTGAAAAATATTCTTCCAGAGATAGAACGTTTAATAAATTGATGCCCTAGAATGTTTGAAAACATGATTTCTAATGCATATCCACCCCTTATATCTTCCGATCCAAGCGTGTACGTGACGTGAGTCTGTTCCGCCCAAAGGTCAAGTACTAGCTCAGGTTTGGTCGGATTGCTGTGAAATTTTCAATACAAACTCATTGTTTAATGGGTTACACTTGGGTATAATAAAAAGTTGTCGTATATCCTATGGTTCGAAAGATATTCCAACAAATCTGTGAGAAAACCGAGGCAAATTTAGGGATTTGAAAGCCATTGTCGGCGATTTTCTTGGCGTGTGTAATATTATGATGAAAGCAAAACATGTCATTCGATAGCCTAATTCGTGGACTTTCAAATGATGCATTTTACGTTACAAGGAAGTAAATATTCGCTAAGAAAATTCGAATCGGAATATAGCATTTTGAAATTTTATCTCCTGACGGAAAAGAGTTTAATAAACTGTGTCTATAAAATACAGTATATAGCCAAGCTTCAAATTACTTTATAGTCCGCATCAGTGCATAGTCACTTAGCGTATAGCGTAAAAAGTCGTGCAAATGTCGAGCAATTATTCTTAGTACTATTATGTCATTACATTGATATTTGATGAAACCTTCGTATTACATTTACAATGTAGCTTCGATGCTAAGTTACGAACAGGCAATTATTTTAAGCATATATAATGCAGAGAACCAAAACAAAGTGAAACTGACTATAATTAAGCTGATTAAGCTATTCAATAAAATATAACTTTGTAATTACCTTTCACTCTTAAACTTGCAGCACTTTTCAGTCTATCCCATGATTTACGTTAGAATACCAAGGCGATTTTCACTGGACATTATAATTTCAGTAAATATATGCACTTGAAGTCCTTGAATGCTGTCTCTTTTTGACAATTGTAGTCTGTTGGAGCAACATCAATATGCAAGCTCATACTGTGACGTATTGTGAAACAAACGGAAGTTAAAAGCAAAATTCCCATCGTCAGCATGATTGTCATAATTCCTTGTATTGCAAATCATGGAAATTCCGATCATTTATAGGAAATAGAGGAGATTAATACTGGATCAGAGAAAACCAGCTAACTGCAGCTAGTCTGCGAGCAGTCGCTCCTTAGACGGGAAAGGAAGGATTGCAGATAGCACATCAATCTCTGAGCCAGAGTATGTTCGTTCGCACGTTAGGTGCTGGGCATGACTCTAGAGAGACATAATAACCTGATATCCAATTTTGAATATCTGGTTAGTTGTGCGCATGCTCTTGCTCAAACGGCAACACTGATTTTGCGCGCCGGTCATTAGTTGCAATTATAAATAAAATTGTAGAATTTGTCGAAAACTTGATAATTGTATCTGCGAATGCAGATACGGTATATTGCCATCGTGCGCGTACCGGATATTTGTAAGCGTACTTCTAGCCAATCAGCGACAGCGTATATATGAGAATGACGTAATTATAAAAATTTCAAGATGGCGCACGCGGTTTACTGAAGGGTGAAACAAAGGGAAATTTGTGAATTTACAATTAAAATTAAACTTCAAACGCTGTCAAAACAAAGACATTTTACTATTCTGGATATGGCAAAGGTCGAGAGAGTAGTTTTGGCAAGCATTTGAAGGATTTCATGATTTAATACCGATAAATACGCAGTACATACTACAATTGAAATGATTCCTAATTTTAGGCAAAAATTGAATGAGATTCAGATACTATTATGAAAGTGATCTCGCAAGTGATGATTTATATCGAGTGTAAATTGGTGACTTTTATAATATTATAAGTGGTTGAATGAAGCATATACTGGCAATGACAAGACCTTTATATAATTTTTTTATCAATGATCATAAGGCTGCACTATTTGTTGTATATTAGTTTCTCATCCAGGGCTTCACCTAAAGTTGATGCGGGCGGGCGGGCGGGCCATTACCATTATGCCATTATTTGCCGGATTTCCCCTCTACTCACCGTAAAATTTATTTTGGAAGCATTAAGCATTTATATAGTGCGTGTGTATGTTTTATACAGCTGCAACTTTCTGAAAAACAGCACAAAGTCAGTAAGTGCAACTGAAAGCATGTTTTCATATTAAAAACATGGCCACTCAACATGTAAAATAATTTTGTACCCAGAAGTCAGAACTTCTCGTAGCTGAGTTTGGATATTTAATAAGCGTGTACGTAATGCGGGAAAACTGGCAGTTTGAGTACGTATTTTAACTACGGTATAACATTTGGTTTGGGAACGTTTCTAATTCTCTTTCTTTCGAATTTCACTTTGAAGACATCACAAAATTTATAATATTGGTCAAATATGACAATAATGGCAATAATGGCGAACAAGACCATTAACCTATTAAAAAAGCATGCGGGCGGGGATGAGAAACTAATATACAATAAATAGTGGCCTTACTGTTAAACTGTAGACAATCGATGTGTACATTCATTACAGAAAACCAGACTTTGATACATCATATTTATACAAATTTACAGAGTCACAAGCGAAGTCACACATATTGGAACCATTTCTCTGATCATAAAGCAGTATATGCATTGATTAATTGCTTTCAATTAAAGCAACAGAATATAGCAGCTGTGCGATCAGTTAAAATGGCCCCAAGTCATTGGTCGAAACGGCCCCGCTTCTGTATACTCTTTTATACACGCAATTTGATTGATCAATAGCCGTGCAGGATCAGGCTATCCTGCGTGAGGAATTAAAATGCCTTCGCAGGATTTTTGTAGGATTCTCAAAATATAATTGTTTCACTGTAGTTATTTTATTAAACAATTATCAAATGGTTTTCCAAGCAGGGTAGCGTGACCATGCACGTGGGATGATGCCCGACTTTCGGAAATGTAAGAATACACTCGCCTGCGACTCGAGTATTTTTACGCTTTCCGAAAATCTCGCGACATCCCTCGTACATGGATCACGCAATCCTGCACGGAAACCATTCGGTATTCCTTTAGTAGTATACTGTATGTTACCAAACAACAGAAATAAATCCATTGGCAGAAATTAAAGCTACGCAATGCTGAACGTATTTGAATATAATAACTCCATAGTTCAATATTTACACTCTAAATTACCACCTATAAACATTGAATTAATTTTACTGATAATTTGCCAGAAAATCTATATTATGAACATGTGTAATAATATTTCAAGGAATTCAATAGCCATTTTGACTTGCGAACTGGAGGGGTGCTCCCTTCTTCATCCACTCCGATGTCTGTAACTGCATGTCATTGCCAAGAACATCCACTACCTCATACTCTGCCTAGTCCCAGGCTCTCTCTCTATTCGCTGCTTTGATATATTTAAAGTTTTACGCCTGGGTGTGCTGTGCGGAACGCTTCAGCGAGAGAGCCTAGCAGATTTCGGTAAAATGGTCCCTGATTTCAAAAAAGTGGT